CACTTGAACGTTTCCTTACGCATAAACCTGGCCAATTCAAACCACCTTCTGTTGCATTTTTGTTGAGTCAATCTCTGAATAATTCCCTCAAAAACCATGAAAAAAAGACCTCCTACACTCAAAAACTTGCTCGTCCCTCTCAAATCTCTTCAACACTCGAATTTCTAGAGGCTCTTTGGCTATTATTCTAGCGACCCAGAAAAACAGCAATAAAATTTCAACTTCATAATTTTCAAAAGAAAATATATGCGACTAATTTGCCGAAGTACACTTGCTTTCAATAAGTTAAGCATACTGTTCCCTTATTTAGCCAGCGGCTTAATTCCAAAGAGGATCACCAATTTTACCTTCTTGTAATTCTTTTGTACCCAACAGAAAAATGCTGCTTTCTCTATAACTTGAAAACGCCAACTTTTTCTCGTGTGTCTCTAATTTCAACTTGGACAAGATCTGAACTTCATGTACCAGACGCAGTGATACTGATAGCAAGTGAGAGTACAGTACTGAGAACCAGCAAGTGCGGGAAATAGACTCTCCTATTTCAACGCTTCAATAGAATAAGACGCAGAACAGTACTTGCGTTTTTTAATGTAACAAGGAAGAAGTATACAGTGCTTGCATGCTGATGGTCGTTCGAATACACAGTAGTAATCTTCCCTGATGATGGTTTCGCAAGTCTGCATTCCCGAGAAGAAAAAAATATATTTGAAAATGTCCGTCTCAAATCAGTGCTCATTATCATGCTATATTTGCAGGCATCAAAATGCGGAATCAAAAGGGACGATTGCTGGCAAACGCGACACGGAAGCTGACAGACACGCAGCCGAAGAAGCGATTCTTGCACGCAAAAAACTCTACCAAAGACACCTGAGGGCTTTACAATCATCGATTGCTCGTGACACCGTTCCCAGCAGTAAGTGAACGACATCTATGATTTATAATTTTGTTCCATTTTTCAACCCATAATTCAAATTCTTATTCCCATGTTCCTCGAAATATGAATATATGAACGAAAACATTGCCATAACATTGCAGTTCTGTATACCTAATTATTAGTTATTAGCTATTGTACTTCAAATAAAATACAGAATATATCACACTGAAGTGAAGTGTCGATGCCAAATTTTCATATGAGATCTTTTGGATAAAAACATAATGACAAGAAGTTTTCAAGGAAAAACAGTACAGGCGGACTTTCTATCAACAATTATCTTGAGTATAACGATTTGCCCTGTACAAATATGTTTTTGGTACCATAGACATAGGGTTCTATTCCCATGTTACGTCAGCCTTATTTTAGCTGACATAAATTGGCTAATTGACAGTAATGCATTTTGGAGGATTGGAGCACCATAGCACAATGAAAAGGAAAAAATTTTCTATGCCAAACTGCCAAAGATGAATGTCAATCAAGGAATTATACCGATAGCTGAGCCTCAGTTCTGGATGCAGAAACAATAATATGGTGACGGGCTTCAAGCAGCATTATGAGGCCGTCTAATATTTGCCAATCAAATATTTATGCTGATGCATGCTTGAGCGGAGTTCCCCACCTTTTTTCTCCACTCGGCGAATTTTTTTCACAATTCATTTCGACTGAAGAACCCTTGTGCTCATATGAAGCCTTCAACTAGCTTTGATAATCGTCAAAGGGCTCTTTCATTCAACTACATTAACAACATTAATCAAAGCAGATGAAAAGGACCCAGTCGATTTTGACACCCAACTTTTTTCGCGCCTCGTGAACAAAAACAATATCGTCTGCGGATTTAAAAAACTAATTTTATATTTATAACACCCAATTTCTTCAGAATCGGAAGAATGAAAACGTTAAATATGCTCTTATTGACTCTTTCCCGAGGCTTCAGTCAACAGGATGTCGTTTCGAACTTTTCGGGTGAAAATCAAGATAACCCTTATATGTAGTACGTGTAACCAAAAATCTTGGTAAACATGCTTGACTGAATTGCAGAAAGTTGCCATCAATAAGATGGAGTTGGTCAGATCAGATGCAATCGTGCACTTCGCCTGCAAATCTAAGACGCACCCTGACTTTTTTGTCCAAGTCCATTTTCGCGCAAGCAGCATCAGACGCGTCTTTATACAATCGCCAAAAATACTACCAACTCATCAAACACAACCATAATCTTCCGAGTATTCATGGCAGCAAAGAGCTATGAGGGCTTCCGGAGCAATCCGAGCTCCCACACCGCGATATCGACAATCGCACCGGCATCACTTACTCTCAAAACACATCGCACTCGTCTTCAATGCTCTTTTTCCGTTAATAACCAATCATGTTCCTGTAGCTGGGATATAGGAGTACTTGCACGAGAAACAAATGAAAACGGAGCACCGAGACGCGTGCCGTCGATAATATTTCATGCGTATGCGGCCTGTGATCATCGGCTTTCAAGATAATTGGAGTGAAAGAAAATGCGAATTAGAAAACGCAGGGATATCATCTTTCATTCCGAATAATGGATCTACCGAGGCTATCGACTAGCACGGGAGCATCACGACTTTTCTTAGGCTCTTTTCCCGAACGGGTTCCTGAGGCTAACAAGAGTAGCATTCGAATCAAAATACTGTACCTCTTCAAAACAGATTCAAAGTTTTTTTGACGTTGCTCCATTGTAATTTTGTATCAACCAAAATTAGTGGTAGAAAGGTAGCGATACGTCTGTCGCTTAGCTGAGCTTTAGGTTAAATCAAATAAAATACTGTATAGTAATTACCAGTCAAGTTACGTCACGGTAGGAGTCAGGTAAGTCCAGTTATTATGCATTCAGGTGTTCACACCTTTTCTGGGTCAATAGGGTTTATCAGACATGAAGTTCTTCAAATGTCATTGTATAGGTTGCGGTAATTGATTCAGCTAGAATCAGTTTTCTGGGTGAGAACTGAAAGGTTATTCAAGAGCAGTTGAGTTAGTTACATCTTGAGTTAGATAATGTTCATTGGGTTTTGGATACACGCATAATATGCCAACTTAGGTTCTTCAGGTGAAAATTCGTCACTTGGAGTACGATCTATTGGCTGTTCAACTCGGTTAATTAGGTTTGAATGTCAGGTCAGGAGCTGTGGGTTAGATAAGATAAATAACTTAATCCTACGGTTATATATATTTTTTTTAAACCATAGCAGCACGTCGGAAAACTACCCAAGAAATGAAAAGGCAGATTTACGAATATCTTTCCCAATACTTCCCACACTTTTCTGATGTGCATGTAGAATTTGTACCAAATGGATTCAAAATCGGCTGAAAGTCTCACGCTAATTTTTTGCCTTCTTTTTCTTTCCCAGGGACCAAAGAAAGCGGCTCAGACGCTATACCGACGAACTTCATGTCATACCTCGCCAACGAACGCATGCGGAAACGGCGAGCATTCGCAGATAAGGAACTCGAGGAGGCCATGATGAAGAAGGAAAAAGAGGCCGAAGTGCTCGAACTCCAGCTCACACTTCAACTCCAAGCAGCAGCCGGGGCCCCGAATCCCATCGTTCCAACAACAAATGAATCCAACGATCCCGTGCCATCATTGCTGCTTCAAACATCAAATCTACAGGCCTCGGCTCCTCCGTCGCGCACACAGTCCTTACCGGCAGATCTGCTCTATCGGCAATTCTGGGCCCCGTTTTATTGGTCTTATGCGGGGCATTCCCTTTTCCCCAGGCCTAGTACCACTGATATCGAATCTCCAACGTGGATTGAAAAAGAATCCAGAGCCTTGACGCCGCCTGTGGAAAAATTCGAAAAGCCCAAGCACAACTTTTCCGTCGAACGTCTCCTTGCAAAATCGTGACACCATGCAACCAATTCGTGCCTGCAACGCGCGACTGTATTTCAAACGATGAAACTAGTCACTTTGCTGGATGAAAATAAAGCGTTCAACAATAAATCTATTTCCTTAAAATATGTGGGAATCTCAAAAGGCTTGCGAATCAACTATCAAGCACTGTTTTATTCGGATGGAACGTAGCTCGTCACTTGAAACATTTATTGGTAAACAAAGCAAGCATCCCATTCTGTAAAATCAACATTATAAAAATTTATTTGAAAACCAAGCAGGCGTGCTGGGACGATTTTCTCTTGAGGAATGGGAACACGTAATTTTCAGCAGTTTAACGCTGCATTAAAAAACGGTAGTTTATCAAATTACGCGTATACTAACAAGATTAGGCAACCAGACAAGCATGCCAAGAACGATGCCTTGCTCCGTTTACTCATTTGCCATAATGTCCGAAAGGGACTATCCGTCACATTTTTGTGGCATTGCCAAATTTGACATTCGAAAATAAACAATCCGTCTGATCACAATTTGCTGGTTACTCGCAGAACTTTCCGGAATTTCTTCAAACACTGCAACAGCACATCATAGACGAGGTTTGAAGTAGGCATCCACAATAATCACGGCCTTCTGGAAAACCACTATGACGTAATGTACTTCCTTGCCAGGATCGTTTTCATACTCCTTTCGGGAACAGACGCATGAAGAAAACCATCCCTTTTTCAACGTAGAAGAGAGGTACTTTCAGATTAAGTCTTGAATGCTTAAAAGGCTCAAGTTTCTCACCAATAAAAGTGGCGCAAACGAAAAACATGAGGACGTATATCCAGCATTTACACGCATTCGCTCTGTACCCCGCAAGGACGTTCGATTCCTTTTGAAGTTGATGCATATTAGTCTCTGCCTGCACATTCGTTACGTCAAGCACCTGCGAATATTCGAAGAATTAAAAAATTAGCAAATAACGATTCCGACGATGGAAAAAAAAAGGTATCTGTAACGATGACTCAGGAACTCCACAAGTTCCGAGAATCACAACCAATACTTATTCTAGTGTGATACAAAACCTGAAACGTCATGTTTCTCAAAACTGGTTTCACTAGTATTGCAGTTATACTGTATATCCATATACACAAGTCTAGTATTTTCATTTTATTTTGATTCACAAAAAAAGGGTCTCCTGTTTTCCGCCTGCAAGGGATGTTCACATCAGTCGGTCTTCAGCCGCATAAATGAGTCGTTAAAATAAACAACAACTTTGAACGACTTCAAAAGTAATACAAAAATAAATAAAAGTAGGATGATTAAGACACACATCTTTATCCTTGCAGATGATAGCTTTCGCCGCCTGAGACTGTTCTTTCAAGCTTTGCGCCAAATGAAGCATCTCTTCGGCCACACGATCTTGTTCCGCTTGATGCGCACTCAGAATGGCGTCCACATCATTCGACATCCCGGCGTTGTGGCGATTTCGTAGCCCAGTTTCCGGGAACGGATCTCCTATCAGCTCTCGTCTCGCACTCTCCTCCAACGTCGCCCGTAACGTGCTTTCAATCACTCGACCAGTAGGGGTATCCGGCGCTTGTTGCACTCCGCGCGGAGAAAAGTGCCCAGAAGACATCACCAGGGACGAATCGGTCAACGGGGATAGCTTTTTCGGCGAATGGTCGTCGTCGTCGCATGCAGACGCTGATGAAAAAGCTCCGACGTAAACAGGACACACGCTCCTTAGGTACTTGACTTTTTTCTCATTTTCCTTGAGAACGTCGGCATCCACGCTGTCAACAATGTAGAGCTCTCTTGGGTTATTACCATGTCCTTTAGGCACTCAAATTTCTTCAGGCAAGAGTGAGAATCCTCTAGAGCAGCATTAGGATCAATAAGATTTACGGCAAAACTCTCTTTATTTGCTAAAAATTGTCTTCTATCAGATCCAGACTTCATTTTTGATTAACCGTAACATTCTCTACACTCCAGGCAAATCTTTCCTCTCCAATGTTCTGGCCTTTCTTTCGAAGTACTGAACAAACATTGGTTCAATATTGNAAACCATAGCAGCACGTCGGAAAACTACCCAAGAAATGAAAAGGCAGATTTACGAATATCTTTCCCAATACTTCCCACACTTTTCTGATGTGCATGTAGAATTTGTACCAAATGGATTCAAAATCGGCTGAAAGTCTCACGCTAATTTTTTGCCTTCTTTTTCTTTCCCAGGGACCAAAGAAAGCGGCTCAGACGCGATACCGACGAACTTCATGTCATACCTCGCCAACGAACGCATGCGGAAACGGCGAGCATTCGCAGATAAGGAACTCGAGGAGGCCATGATGAAGAAGGAAAAAGAGGCCGAAGTGCTCGAACTCCAGCTCACACTTCAACTCCAAGCAGCAGCCGGGGCCCCGAATCCCATCGTTCCAACAACAAATGAATCCAACGATCCCGTGCCATCAATGCTGCTTCAAACATCAAATCTACAGGCCTCGGCTCCTCCGTCGCGCACACAGTCCTTACCGGCAGATCTGCTCTATCGGCAATTCTGGGCACCGTTTTATTGGTCTTATGCGGGGCATTCCCTTTTCCCCAGGCCTAGTACCACTGATATCGAATCTCCAACGTGGATTGAAAAAGAATCCAGAGCCTTGACGCCGCCTGTGGAAAAATTCGAAAAGCCCAAGCACAACTTTTCCGTCGAACGTCTCCTTGCAAAATCGTGACACCATGCAACCAATTCGTGCCTGCAACGCGCGACTGTATTTCAAACGATGAAACTAGTCACTTTGCTGGATGAAAATAAAGCGTTCAACAATAAATCTATTTCCTTAAAATATGTGGGAATCTCAAAAGGCTTGCGAATCAACGATCAAGCAATGTTTTATTCGGATGTTATTATTCGGATACAAGTAGCTCGTCACTTGTAACATTTATTGGTAAACAAAGCAAGCATCCCATTCTGTAAAATCAACATTATAAAAACTTATTTGAAAACCAAGCAGGCGTGCTGGGACGATTTTCTCTTGAGGAATGGGAACACGTAATTTTCAGCAGTTTAACGCTGCATTAAAAGACGGTAGTTTATCAAATTATGCGTATACTAACAAGATTAGGCAACCAGACAAGCATGCCAAGAACGATGCCTTGCTCCGTTTACTCATTTGCCATAATGTCCGAAAGGGACTATCCATCACATTTTTGTGGCATTGCCAAATTTGACATTCGAAAATAAACAATCCGTCTGATCACAATTTGCTGGTTACTCGCAGAACTTTCCGGAATTTCTTCAAACACTGCAACAGCACATCATAGACGAGGTTTGAAGTAGGCATCCACAATAATCACGGCCTTCTGGAAAACCACTATGACGTAATGTACTTCCTTGCCTGGATCGTTTTCATACTCCTTTCGGGAACAGACGCATGAAGAAAACCATCCCTTTTTCAACGTAGAAGAGAATTACTTTCAGATAAAGTCTTGAATGCTTAAAAGGCTCAAGTTTCTCACCAATAAAAGTGGCGCAAACGAAAAACATGAGGACGTATATCCAGCATTTACACGCATTCGCTCTGTACCCCGCAAGGACGTTCGATTCCTTTTGAAGTTGATGCATATTAGTCTCTGCCTGCACATTCGTTACGTCAAGCACCTGCGAATATTCGAAGAATTAAAAAATTAGCAAATAACGATTCCGACGATGGAAAAAAAAAGGTATCTGTAACGATGACTCAGGAACTCCACAAGTTCCGAGAATCACAACCAATACTTATTCTAGTGTGATACAAAACCTGAAACGTCATGTTTCTCAAAACTGGTTTCACTAGTATTGCAGTTATACTGTATATCCATATACACAAGTCTAGTATTTTCATTTTATTTTGATTCACAAAAAAAGGGTCTCCTGTTTTCCGCCTGCAAGGGATGTTCACATCAGTCGGTCTTCAGCCGCATAAATGAGTCGTTAAAATAAACAACAACTTTGAACGACTTCAAAAGTAATACAAAAATAAATAAAAGTAGGATGATTAAGACACACATCTTTATCCTTGCAG